CACGCAGCCAACAGAAGCGAATCTGAGACACGCACAACACTGCCTCTAGCCTTGCATGCTCGCTTTTAGATTGGGCGTCTCTCTGGCTCTTGACTCTTGAAATCCCATCACTCTGCCTATTCATGTTGCCACCCTTAGGGAAGGAGAGACTTCCACACCCTGCTCTGTGTACCGAACTGGCAGCCCTCCTTGGGAGGGTGCAAAAGTCAGAAGCTGGCAGAGACACTTGCGTTTGGCAACATCTTCTCCCCCAAAGACAGGTACAGGAAGAACTTTTAAACAGGTGTAGCTTTCCATGGGTGCAAAGGAGCTCTGCAAGAGTTCATGAGCGTACTGTCATTGGAGATGTAAACAGAAAGGGAGAAGGCTATCGATGAGCATGATGTGGGGGCCAGTACTCCCAGGTAGGAAGAGACAATGTGGTACAACTGCCCACCCAAAGCTGCCCAGCCTCCCTCTGTTCCCACAAGAGTACTTAGCTTGTGTTTTCCCAGCAAGAATGAGTCTGCTTCGGGAAAGAGATTTAATTGTTCCATTTACTAGCTCTGGTTCACAAGGTCACACTGACAAAGATTGTGACCTATTTGTAATGGGAGAAAGTGATGGAGGAATGAGTATCACGGAGCTGCTCTTTGGAAAGATGACATGTGAAGCTTCGCCCTAGCAAAAGGCATGCACACTTCCCAGCCTAGTACTCTTAAGCCCACTGCAAGTTCCCTTTTGCTTTGTTTTTTTTTCCTCTATTAATATGGCAGAATAACTCACCAAACAGACTGGAACACTTCTGCAATACTGCCCAATTTAAGCCTGGGGATATGAGGAGAGGAACAGAAACAGAAAATACGGATTCAATGCTCACTGCATGCTGCAGGCCATGAGAAATATCAAAACCGTAAAACACGGTTCTGATCTCCCTCAAGGAGATTACGATATACTTGAGTAAATTAGAAATGAAAGAAAGTATTTGAACTACAGTCCAGTACACTAGTCAAAGGGGGCCACAGGGCAGGAAGTGATTAATTCAGAAATGACTGGAACAGGCTGTAATTGGTATTGAGAAGGGTGCGTTTGCTCTCCTTTTAGGATTCGGGTCTGGTTTACCAGGTTGACTTATTTTAAAGAGAGGTGTTGTTCAGGCAGAGGGCAGAGGAAAAATCTTTATATTTATATCCCGAAAAGAAACATCGAGATGATGTTTCTTATATCTGGCTGCCTCTGTTATGGGCTTACAAACCTGGCTGTCTTTGGGACAACAGCAAGAGGAAGATGTGTTGGGCATTTGACAAATCATGGTGAGAAGATCCATTTTTGTGTCCTCATAGATTCCCAAGGGAGGAAGAAGTCAACAGCATGTTGTATTTTGAAAGGGGAGGCATTGGCGTTTTTGTGAGCAAATGAAGCAGCCACATGTCTCGAGGCATATAAACGGTAGACAGAGGAATTTGGATGAATTTGCGGTGGTGTTGGGTGAACAAGGAGATAATACTGCAGAGTCTCCCGTGACATTTGTGACTTGCGAAAGCACTAGAGGAAAGGAATTGAATCAAGATACCCCCTTCCCATCACTTTACACCACTGATCAAACAGCACCCTTCTTTGTGGGTAAAAAGAGCTTAAGGAGATGGATTTCCTATTTGTTTACTTCATGAATATGTTGAATATGTATGCTTTTTTTTTTCTGATTAGAAAATCTGAGACCTTTAATGAGTTAGTCTATGAAAAGAAGAGTAGGAATATCTATTTTCCATCCAAGTGATGAAAATGCAAGGAGGGAGGTTTGCCATGTTTGAAACTCTGAGTGAAAAATTAAAACTCAAATGAGTATTGGCGTCTAAATGTATGCTATGTAAATGGTACAGTAATCACAGTAAACATTTTTTTTTTCACACAAAAACTGGTACGTTGAAAACTCCCGGAGCCATGGCAGAAGCAAGCCCAGAAACTCTCTGTAGGGACATCCCTATAATGTAGTGTTCTTGGGAGTCCCGTGGGGCTTAGAGGGAGAACAAGCTGCAGAAGATTAGCTAATGATGAAAAGCCACAAATGCCACAAGGAAGTAAGTCACCATGAGAGTGAGAACACATAACAGAAGAATGAGAATCCCAAGAACTAAGGCAGGGGAGGAAGGGAAAATAATCTGAAAGACTATAGGTTTGAAATGATCAAATATATAAAAGTTTTAAAAATCATAACAAAGGATGGGATATTATGATAAAAGGAATAGGCAGAATTGTAAAAGAGTCAAATGAATGCCATAATTCAAAAGGAGAGATTAAAGTTAAAGCATAAAGCTAAATACAAATGAAAGAAGAAATGAACCAGAAAATAGATTTATGGAAATCATCCAACTGCAGCAGAGAGAGAGAGAGAAAGGGATGAAAAATATTAAAACCAGGTTAATACTCTGGAGGATAGAATGAGAAAGTCTAGAGTATTTCAAACAAAATTTTCAGGAAAAGGAAAAACACAAGAATTGTAGGACTATCATATGTCATTATGGAATTGCAAATTGAAACAATGATTTATTTTAGCCATATTGAAATGGCTAAAATCCCAAACACTAGCACTGACAACTCAAATCAGTGATGGTGAGGATATGGAGCAACAGGAACTCTTGCTCATTGCTGGTAGGAATGCAAAATGATATGACCACTTTGGAAGACAGTTTGGCAGCTTCCTACAAAGCATAGTCTTGCCATATAACCTAGTAATGATGATCCTGGGTATTTACCCAAATGAATTGAAAACTTATGGTCCACATAAAAACTTTCACATGAATGCTTATAATAACTTTGTTTGTAATTTCCGAAGCTCAAAGCAACCAAGATGTCCTTCAGTAGGTGCATGGATAAACAAACGGTACAGATCCATGCAATGGAATATTATTCAGGGGTTTAAAAAATGAGCTATCAAGTCATGAAAAGACATGGAGGAGTCTTAAATGCATATTTCCAAGTGAAAGAAGGCTGTCTGAAAAGGTTACATACTATATGGTTATCATATTAATATACCATATGATATTCTGGAAAAAGTAAAACTATAGAGACAGTTAAAAGATCAGTGGTTGCCAGGGGTTGGGAAGGGTTTTGAGCAGGAATGGATAGCTGGAGCACAGGGGATTTTTAGGTTAGTGAAACTATTCTTTATAATACTGGAATGGTAGATATCTAACATCACGCACTCAACTAAATTCATGTAACTGTACAACACAGTGAGTGAACCATAATGTAAACTGTGATTTTTAGTTAATAACAATGTATCAATATTGCTTTATAAATTGTAAAAAAACCTGTACCACACTCAAGTGAGATGTTAACAGGGGAAACTGAGGGGCATGGGGAAGGGCAGTATATGGAGACTCTGTACTTTCTGCTCAGTCTTTCTGTAAATATAAAACTACTCTTAAAAACATAAAACCTATTAATTTTTAAAAAATGATAGAATGGGGAGAGTTAACATTCAAAGCAATAATAGGTGAATTTTTGCGAGCATCAAAATTATAAGTCATCAGATTGAAGAATCATGCTAAATCCATAGCAGGACAAATGAAAAGAATCTCTACTTTGATTTCGTGCCAAAGACAAAATGAAATTCTCAAAAACAATTAGAACATATAGATTGCATAGAAAGTAATGACAATGAGATGATCAGCCAACTTCTCAACAATTACAATCCAGGTCAGAAGAAAATTTAATAGAATCCTCAAAAGGTCAAGGAAAAATAATTGTCAACTTAGATTTCTATGTTCAGCTATATCAGTTAAGAATGAGAACAAACTGAAAGCAATGCAATACATACTAATTTCACAACATTTAAAAAATAGACCAATACTAAATCAATAATTATGATTGTCTTCTTCAAAAGAGAATCAATATAAACAGTATTTTCTTTATGTTTCTTTTATGTTTCTCTGCCTCATTTCTTCTTTATGTTTCTTTATGCTTCTCTGCCTCATTTCATCTTAGAGATCATATATACCCATATAAGAAAATATAATCATACTTTTCATTTAACATTATATGCCTCTTTCTAGATTTTCGCTGTCCTTGAAGGATAATTTTTAAAGGCTGAATCATAGTCTAAGTAGCATAGTTTAAGCGAATTGCTAGACAGTTAGTGTAATTGCTAGATATTTAGATCAGAGAATTTTCTCCTAAATGGCACTGAATAAAAGGCACATAAAAGAGAGACAAAAAAATGCTAAGCATGCCTACGCTTTTTTTTTTCCTCATTGAAAAATCCACCTGGTTCTTTAATTGCCTACCACAGTTGGGGAGTGGGGGCTTAGTTAGCGAAGGGCCATTCAGAGCCAGTCGGATGTCTCCTTTCCATTAAAGTTTTGTGTTCTAAGTAGATGACGGCGTGCGTATGACTTTTTGCAGCAATCCCGGATGTTCTAAAGAGAGGGAAGAGAAGGAAGTGATAAACTCGATGACTACCATATGCCAGGTGCTGTGCTACGCATTTCCTCCCCAACAGTAATTGATGAAAACTTTTACGAACCTTTTCAGAAACACAGCAAGTTTTCATAGTTATTGTTATACCCATTTCACAGACAAGATAACCGTGGCTCCAGGGTCACGCTGCTAGTAAGTTACGAAGTCTGAATTGAAATGAAGTGTTTCCACCGTGGCATGCTGCCAGTGTACCCCATGTCTTGCTCCAAGCTTGGGTGGGTGTTGGGGGTAAGGTGTAGAAGAAAGCAAGGTGGGAAAAACATAATCACGAGAAAAGAAAAAGGCTCCAAAACAAAACCAAGAACTGTGCTGTTGGCCATATATGCTATCGTATTTCGCGGCAACAATATTAGGTGGATGTTGTCATCATTATTATCTTTACTCAACAAGTGAGCAAACGGAGATCGGGGGAGCTCAGTAACTTGCCTTAGGGTCACACAGCTGTAAGTCGAGCAGTCCGTCCCAAACCCAAACAGGTGCCCGCCCCAGAGTGTGCACTCCAGCCCTCACTGCCTGTGGGTGTTGTGTTGTGTTCTGTGCAGGTGAGATGGAAGAGCTGGAGACACTGTGGCTCACGGGGATCTGCCACAACGAGAAGAACGAGGTGATGAGCAGCCAGCTGGACGTGGACAACATGGCGGGCGTGTTCTACATGCTGGCCGCCGCCATGGCTCTCAGCCTCATCACCTTCATCTGGGAGCACCTCTTCTACTGGAAGCTGCGCTTCTGCTTCACGGGCGTGTGCTCCGACCGGCCGGGGTTGCTCTTCTCCATCAGCAGGGTCAGTACTGGCGTTGGTGGCTACTTCCTCGTGCAGCAGGCAGGTCTGGAAATGCACGGAGATTCCAGGGAATCGGGGACTCTTGACTGCTCAGTGGGGTCTTCACGTTCCTCCCTCGCTCACTAGCCCGTTCCTCCCTCGCTCACTAGCCCTTCTCGGGCTTGTCAGAAAGGCACCCAGATCTGTGCATTCATGAGCCAGGGGTGGCAAACCCAGCTGACTGTGGAAACCAGGAAGGGACTGGGAGTGGGTGCAGCAGGCTGGACGTGAGAAAATAGCACACTTGAGATGCAGCAGAACAGCTGAGCCTGCTTGTCAAAGTGAGCGGACGATAGGGATTGCTGAGGACGGTGGCAAATTGCATAATATTTACGGTACCTAAAGTGGCCCGCCATCCTCAACTCCTGCTGAGTATTGTCTTAAGGGACTATAGGGCCAATATTATTAGGTCTTCTAGTTTTTAAAGAGAAAGTGTCATCTGATTTAATGTGAAACATTTCAGTTTTTAAATATCAGCAATTCCATAAAAAAATGCATAGGCCGAGCAGAGCTAGCCTGTGGCTTCCGTTACTAGTGCTCATGCATGCCACACCATCACTGCTAATGCCCCCACGCAAGATGTTACAATCCATGCGTGCACTGCAATAGAACATGCACAGTAAAACAAAGTCCACTTGCAATGCTATGCAATGTGCATTATCATCTAACAAAACACAGAAAGCAAGTGCATGCACCTGAAATGAAACACAGATGCAAAGTACCAGGAGAAAGCACACACACAACCAACAGAAAACAAAATGCACATTGAACCCAACATAAACAATAGCACAGAATCCACATGCTACAGTGAGCTCACATGCAATACGAGGGGGTCTCCCTTTGTGCAGCACAATATGGCACGTGTGTGTTGCCATTAAAGTTCATAATGAATCAATAATGGTAATGAGCATGGAAATTCTTGCATTTATGGAGCACTTACATGTGCCAGGTATCAAAAAAGGACTTTATATTCTTTATCTCATTTAATGTACAAACCAACTGTATGAGGTGGGTACTATTGTTAGTTCCAGATTTCAAATGACAGAACTCAAAAGGTATGGGGTTATGGGAATTACCCCAGCCACACAGTCAGTAAGGTGGAGCCAGGATTGGAATCCAGATGCACACCATCTGTGTGGCATCAGTCAAAGCCCGTGTTCTTCCACAAGCCACAAACATCAAACACAAGCAACACAAGAGATTTGATGCAATTCATACTATGAATATGTATGTACATGCAACTCTCATATGTTCACACATGCAACACAACCTAGTCGCTTACCTGTATTCATAATAAAAGCACATACATGCATATTGTTCATGCATCTTTCAACACAGTGTAATCCATCTATCTATCCATCTATCCATTCATCTCTTTATCTACCTATTTCTCCTATTTACCCACCTTGGTGTTTTTATTTTTACCCTGGAAGAGCTTAAAGAATTAGAATTTGAAACATGGTGAAAAATTTTTGGTTAAAAACATCCAATTTTATATGCTAATGTTTACTGAGGAAACCAAGTAATCCTTGTAAAATAGATTTGTGTATTCTTAGCATTTGGCAATTTCAAGAACTTTGGAGATTCAGAAGGTACACATTAGCTTAGCGAGAAAGATTTATTTTCTCCATTCAGTTGCACTCCAAACTTGGGTTCTGTGCAAATACATATTTCCTAATTAGCTTGATGGCATCTAAACACACGATTGCTTAAAAATAACAGCATGCGTGCGTAGAGCTAGGTATTATGCCAACTTTAAGCTAATTCTACCAGCCAATTACTAAAGGCATTTCATATCCAAATGATTCTGGGATTATCACCCGGCAAATGCACACTGTTGCATTTACTTGTAAATCCTGCTTGTTTTTGGAAGAGCATTTCCCCCTTCTGAGATGCCATCAAGGAAGCCAAGTTGATAGGATCGTCATCATGAGAAATGAAATAAATCCTCCACTGCATCTCCAAGCATCCTGAGGGATGGGAATGTGGGGGAAGAACTGGCAGCAGGGGAGCAGGCGTTGTTGGTGGCATTGTTGGCAGTCTGGAATTTGAACTTGGGCCTCTCCCTCCCTGGGGGAGCAAGGACCCCAAGTCCCATGGGAGCAATGTAGGGACTTCTGTATCTGCTCGGGAACTCCCAGCCACCATCGCTGCTGTATTTTTGAAGGGTGGAGGGAGCCCTGCTTGAGCTATGACCCTCCTCCTCTCCAGATAATATTTGTCTTTTAAAATAAGTGCAGCCAGATGTGTATGAATAGGAAGATCTCTTACTTAATGCTTACTTGCTGTCTCATGAAGTAGGGGGACTCAGCATAGGTTCAGGCCCTAATGCTATCTGTGCACAGCAAGGCTCTGGGTTTCTAAATAAACAACCTTCCTTTCGGTCAAGGGCTACCGCCACCTCTAAAGCTTGTCTTCTACACACGTTCACACACATGCCATCTTGCATACATGCTTCCTCACACACAGAGAGAGCACACACCAAAGCAAAAGTGAATTCATCATGTGCATGCAATCATTTTCTCCAACAAAATCTGCAGTGGTGAATTCCCAAACAACCTACTTTCCACAAGTGCAGGATCACAACTACGTAATGAATTATGCCTAGTGCGTAGATACGGACCTGGGCCTGGTATGTTTCCTCTGTCATCTCTAACCCTCACAACAAGCAGGTTGTGAGGTTGATTTGATCACACCCATTCTGTGGATGGAGAAACTAAGGCCCCAAAGGTTAGAATGGGGCCTTTTGGGCTTCGCCTTATGTTTCCTTAAAACAATGGAAAACATCTTGCTTCATCTGTCACACCAGAAAGAGACATGAAAGAGGAAACCCATCTGTTGATGCAGGGTTGAGTGGCAGGCGTTACTAGACTTCAGTTTAGGCTTCTTTCTAAAAGATGCTGATCCGGGATGCTCTGAAAGTGGCTCGTTCCCCAAGGCAGGGTTTGCTCTGCATGGAAGCCGGAGCTCTCCCTTATCACTTCTTCCAGCGAGTGGAATATCCAGCCAGTAGACTTAAAGCTGTTACCAGGGAGGCAGATACACGCAGCCCTGCTCCTGGGCCCAGCATCCCTTGGGAAGCCCTTGGACAATGCAAACAGACACAGGCCTGAAATACGTGCACACCGGCCCTGCCGAGGGAGAAGGTCGGTGCTCACAGAAGTCGTTTATTTAACATTGGAACCTATCTTCTGCCACTGCTGTGGCCCTCATCTTTTAGAACTTACAGAAATGCACCCTCCTGTCTATGGGGTGCTCTTGACTTTTGTTTTCTATCCAGGATGCTTTCCCTCCCATTTAGAAAAAAAATATTCTATGTCACCAGCAAAAAGGAACTGCCTCAATTGTCTCCCAAGACATGAGGAATGGGAAACATAGAAAAGCCAGAAAGCCAGGGAGCTGGAAACTGCAGCCGCCTTCCCGGTGATGTCAGACCCGGGGAGCTGGGAACGGAATGTTAGAAGCCTCAGGCTGACTCACAGCTGGGACCAATAGAAGTCGGATGCTTTAGGGATCAGGTCTGGGCTCAAAGGATGCAAGGAGAGTAGAGCCCACGCCCCCACTGAGAATGTTCAGAGAGGTCAGGTGCCCGCCGGGGGGCAGAGCAAACTGTCTGGAACAACACCTGGAGTCGCCCATGCTCATTTTATCTGGCTCTGAGCCCACTGTGGCACCAAGGGGGCGTCTTATTTCCCAAACCCCAAAAACATAGCTGGAATCTGTAAATAACAGAGAAGAGAAAAGAGAGAGAGAGCTTTGCAGGGAAGAAAGAAACTCTAGCCCAGGGGTTTCTGTGGTTCCCGAGGTAGGGTTTGGACTGCTTAAGTCTAACCAGAGAGCCAGAGTGGCTTTCTAGAACAGACTTTACATATTAAAGAATCGCATGCATTTCTCCCACCGTTGACACAATGGACCTGCATGTGCGAGCTTGTGGGAAGGGGGAAAGGAACAAGGTGATGACGCAGAAGTGAAGGTCAGAGATGACTGGGCAGCTCGTCCAGCTCACATTTGCTGACCGCCTGTGAAGTCAGGTGATTTATTTGTGTTGTTTTATCTTGCCCTGGTGCCCACCTCAGCAGGGAATGGTTCCCACTTTACAGATGGTGGAAACTGAAGCTCAAATAGACGTAGTGGTTTATTTAGGAAAGACCATGGAGCTACTAAGTGATGGAGCTGGGCCCCTGACGCCCAGTTACTCTGTAACATGCCCTCCCTCTCCCCAATGGTCCACCAGATTCCAGAGGATGGGTCAGCTCAGAACGCTGTTACCGAAACCTGGGGCACAGGTGGGTCCATCACTTTGACTCCTTTCCGTGACCTCAACAGGCAGACAAACACCTGGGGACTGTCATTAGCATGCTGGATGAGTCCCGGGGAAATGAGAGAGAGCAGGTAACCACCATCCTTCCTTCTCCTGAGCCGTATCTCAGCCCCCTGACCGCTTCCGTGGGCTCCCTCCAAAGAGAGAGGCAGCCAGCTCATGCTGGCCGGTGGGGCATGCTGCCCCGAGGGTGCAGGGGTGGAGGGTAGTGCTTAGACTCTCCAGGGGACAGAGAGGAGTGTGTTAGAATAAACATGCACATTTAGGAAAATATCTTAGGAGCCACTGCTTTCATGATGCTACCAGCAGGAAGAAAAGGCACAGGTCTCGGCTGACTGTGACATAGAGAGACACTGATTTTTCACCCATAGTAGTGGAATCCCTCTGGGTCAGAGTATAAGGTTGTTATATTACTAAATTGGGAGAAAGACATGAGTTAACATGAAAGGTTAAGGAGCGCTGTGCTACGTGAAATGCATGGCACATCTGTGTGATTTCCTCATCCACAGTCTGGCTGCTCCAACAGCCCTGGAAGCAACGGAGGAGGAATTTTTGTTTTTTTTTTGGAAGAAGAACAGCCATCCACACATGGCACAGAGAAAGAGACCAAAGATAAGGTTGCAGGAAGGTTAGGGAAGGGCATGATGCCAGCACCTTGGGCCCCAGGGAGCTGCAGCCATGGACTCTGGGGCTGACAGCACCAGAGAGAGAAAGATGCTCCAACTTGCAACTGCAGGCTTTCCTGGGAACGGTTCCTTGAAGGCTGGAGTGGAGACCGTCTCTAGAAAACTACAAGCCAAACGTCGCTGTGCAAATGAGCGGAGGCCGTCACAGTTCCATGGGCATCCCTGCGGGTTGAGCTCATCCCGCCGTGGGGGACCGAGGCAGCCACCGCTGTCAGAGCCCACAGTTAATCACACATGCTCGACTGTGGTTCATGCCAAGGTCAGCAGCAGCTGCCGAAGCTGCTTTACAAAACCCTGCCTGCATTGGCTCCCTGTCAGTCTTGGGAGGACCAGGTCACTTCCTGCAGCCTAGATCTGATTGTTCCCTTTAGGGACGGCAGCCAAAATCTGGGGTAGGCGTGGGCAAAAGCAGGAGAGGCCACAAACCAAAATGTTTCTGATGCCCCTTTGCCCATTATTGTAAGCGTGAATCAAGAGCTCTTCCCTTGATAACAAGTAAACAGTTACTTTTAAGTGAAAATAAACAGTTATATTTTTAAAAGGAGAAGGAGTAGAAAGTGAAGAGACCTGCAGCTGGAGGTGTTTGTGTTTGGGCTTCCCAAGACTCCCCAAGTCATTCAGGTCCCTGGGGAATTTAAAGGCAGTGTCACTGTGTCATCAGAACTCTTCACTATTACCACAACTGAAACTCAACTCTAACTACATTGAACAAACTCACACACGAACACACAAAAAATATATTGCACAGATTAAGTAAAAAGTCCAAGAGAGTGGCGCCAGGGGTTCAGACTGTGTCTCTGTCCCTTGGGATTAGCTTTCCATGGTGACAGCCTCACTCTCAAGCTCATGTCCCCACCTGATGTCAAGACTAGTCTCCTGTGACTCCTGCTTCTACCCGAGCATCTATAGCTATGCCTCCAAAAATGTATGATTTCATGCCTTCCTTCTAAAGTAACCAATGTGACCAGGGGGAAAAGTTATCAGATCTGCCTACTCAGGGCACGTGCCTTGACGGTTAGCTTCAGCATGATGGGTGGTGGTAATTCCTGAAAAGAATTAACAGTGGGTGATCTTTTTATGCTGACTTTGTCAATATTTAGCTTTCTGGTGTGCAAACTCCAAAGATGATGCTGGGAAACTTTGATAAAAGCATGGCTTGATGACCCGGGCGCTGGGAGGATGCCAACCTAGAGGCACTAAGACGTTGACAGTTGCACGAGCATCCATGGATACCTTTTTCTCAAGCTGCAGGTGTGACTCTTTGCAAAGGTGTCAGATAACCCACAGCCAGAGCAATAAGATAAACCCGATGCTTTGCAACTTGTCTCATGCCTTTAAGAGACATTAGCGGGTTGAATCTCACTGTTCCTCCGGGGCTCCTACAAGAAGTACATATCTCACCTGTGCAGGTAAAGTTCAGGTGTGAATGGTTTCACGTCCACTGCTGCTGCTGACGGTGCTTTATGTTTCTCCCCCACAGGGCATCTACAGCTGCATTCACGGAGTCCACATTGAAGAAAAGAAGTCTCCGGACTTCAATCTGACGGGATCCCAGAGCAACATGTTAAAACTCCTCCGATCGGCCAAAAACATTTCCAACGTGAACTCCTCAAGAATTGACTCACCCAAAAGATCTGCTGACTTCATCCAAAGAGGTTCCCTCACCATGGACATGGTGTCAGACAAAGGGAATTTGATATACGCGGACAACAGGTCCTTTCAGGGGAAAGACAGCATTTTTGGGGACAACATGAATGAACTCCAAACGTTTGTGGCCAACAGGCATAAGGACGCCCTCAATAACTATGTGTTCCAGGGACAACACCCCCTCACTCTCAATGAGTCCAACCCGAACACGGTGGAGGTGGCTGTGAGCACAGAATCCAAAGGGAGCTCCAGGTCCCGGCAGCTCTGGAAGAAATCCATGGATTCCATCCGCCAGGATTCCCTGACCCAGAACCCAGTCTCCCAGAGGGATGAAGGGACCATGGAGAATAGGACCCACTCCCTGAAGAGCCCTAGGTACCTTCCAGAAGAGGTGGCCCACTCGGACATTTCAGAAACCTCGAGCCGGGCCACGTGCCACAGGGAGCCTGACAACAATAAGAACCACAAAACCAAGGACAACTTCAAGAGGTCGATGGCCTCCAAGTACCCCAAGGACTGTAGCGAGGTCGAACGCACCTACCTGAAAACCAAAGCGAGCTCCCCCAGAGACAAGATCTACACCATCGACGGCGAGAAGGAGCCCAGTTTCCACCTGGACCCTCCCCAGTACGTCGAAAACATGACCCTGCCCGAGAACGTGGACTTCCCAGACACCTACCAGGATCACAATAAAAACTTTCACAAGGGGGACTCCACGCTGCCGGCGACCCGCAACCCCCTGCACAACGGGGACGGGCTCCCCAACAACGACCAGTACAAACTCTACTCCAAGCACTTCACCTTGAAGGACAAGGGCTCCCCGCTCAGCGAGGGCAGCGACCGGTGCCAGCGGAACTCCACCCACTGCAGAAGCTGCCTCTCCAACCTGCCCACCTACGCGGGCCACTTCACCATGAGGTCCCCCTTCAAGTGCGACGCCTGCCTGCGCTTGGGGAACCTGTACGACATCGACGAAGACCAGATGCTTCAGGAGACAGGTAACCCGGCCACCCGGGAGTCCTACCAGCAGGACTGGGCGCAGAACAATACCCTCCAGTTCCAAAAGAACAAGCTAAGGATTAGCCGTCAGCATTCCTACGATAACATTGTGGACAAACCTAGGGAGACAGACCTTAGCAGGCCCTCCCGGAGCATAAGCCTCAAGGACAGGGAGCGGCTTCTGGAGGGAAACTCGTATGGGAGCCTGTTTAGTGTCCCCGCCAGCAAACTCTTGGGGAACAAGAGCTCCCTTTTCCCCCAAGGTCTGGAGGACAGCAAGAGGAGCAAGTCCCTCTTGCCAGACCACACCTCCAATAACCCTTTCCTCCACTCCCACAGGCATGACCAGCGCTTAGTTATTGGGAGATGCCCCTCGGACCCTTACAAACACTCGTTGCCGCCCCAGGCAGTGAACGACAGCTACCTTCAATCGTCCTTGAGGTCAACGGCATCGTACTGTTCCAGGGACAGTCGGGGCCACAGTGATGTGTATATGTCGGAGCATGTTATGCCTTATGCTGCAAATAAGAATAATATGTACTCTACCCCTAGGGTTTTAAATTCCTGCAGCAATAGACGCGTGTACAAGAAAATGCCTAGTATCGAATCTGATGTTTAGAACCTTCCATTCGTGTTTTATCCATAGGGGAACGTGCATAACGGCCGACCTTCTGGAGGGTAAATGTCGGATGTCCAAATAGTGCCCTGCTAAGAGCAAGAGGATTTAGGGAGGTACTTTTTTTTTTTTTTGTCGACTCTTTTGCACATGGCTCCATGCCATCTTCTTCCACTCAAGGAATCTTGTGAGGTGTGTGCTGAGCACGGCAGATACCAGACAGGCGAGTCCTTAACCAAAAATAAATAAATGGATAAATACGAAAGGGCAGGTCTCCGGGACGTGCCTACTAGGTATGTTGGCAATAATGGTGCGTTGGATGCCAATGGTGATGTTACGATCTCCTATCCTCCAAATTTCATTCTGGTCAGTCCACCATGTAATTTCCTCATCAGAAATGCCTGACGGTTTCTCTAATACAGAATAAGCAATATGGTATGCATGTAAATTCTGACACAGACGAAATAAAGCAGTTAAGAATGCATCTGCACTGTAGCGAGATTGGCGTGTGCAAGAGATTAGGAAGTTTGGCTTGTAACAGTCTCAGCTTTATCGGTATGCCTTCCATCACAGCCCAGGCCCGACCCCGGGAACTCCAGGCTCCCCCAAAGAATAGCCAATCCGTGTGTTCGTGGTCACTACACTACCTGCATTGTAGTCCATTTCCAAGACGCATCTGGAGCCAAAGGCCGGAGGGACCCTCAGGCGGAGAGCTGCGAGAATGCCTCTGGATGTTGGTGTCTGTGTGTCTCTCGCCCTCGGCTTCGATGGTCTTGTTCCGAGCTGCATAAGCTAACACGTGTCTGTCTTCAATATCTAAGTGTGGATCTTCTGTTTATGACACAGTGGCCGTTGTAGTTTATCCCGAAGACTCCTATGTACGTAAGTTTGCATCTGCTCCCTTCTGGTGATGACTCAGGGTTGTATAGTATCTGTTCCCCTCCCCCACCCCGTGAGTAACCATAGCCCGTTCAGTCCCCGAGCACCCTTGGCGGTGGCTAAGTAAGCAGTCGTGTGTCTCTCCTCCCAGAGCTGTTAACGTGGTGACATGCACCAGCAGCCGTGTGTGTGCTGTGATCTGTGAGAAGCGCGATGCCATCTGTCTGCCGACGGCTAGCACGGTTTCAGTTTTATCTTCCTTAGCATCTCGAAATTCTGTTGGACACCCATTTCCGCCGTAACCTTCTCAAATCTGAAGTCTCCAAAGCGTGAGACGCTCATGCCTTTCATCTACCCTGAATGCCCTCCAAACTTTGCATACACTTTAGTGAAACAAGTCATTTGAAATATTCTCTCTAGGGGAGGCAAACTGCTTCACCAGCACCAACAGAAATATATGAAAAATTCCTCAAAGCATTTGTCATTTCTGAGTCACCTGCATGATTCCATTCTTATTCTACTCAAACCCATATATATGAGATAGGAAATAATAATCATTAAAAAAAAAAAGTTGGAGACAGAGAAGGGGATATTTTTGCATGGGGAACTTCTTAGCACAGTGCTTGCCACTGGGGGGAAAAAAAAGTAATCTCAAAAAGGTAGTTGTTATATTATGGTACTTTATCAGATTAGGATTTTCTAGTTTAAAAGCTAAATATCATAAAACCTGCAAATAACATTAACTAAACATTTTTATATAGTTCTAGTAATTAGTATATTTTACCTACATTAATATTTTTGAAAGATTTGGGATACAAGGACCTTAGCTTTTGCAGAAGACCTGAGTTTGTCTGGGGACATGGAGACATGCTGCAGAAACCATTTTGTGGTTTCCTCCTGCATTCTGCTTTAGGTTCTTAGAGAAGGGAGCAGCATGGCAAGTTGCAAAATTGTCCTGTTTCTTCTCTTCATAGCGTGTTCTGCTTTGCAGGCGTATTTTCCTGTAAGTGAGAAGGTGCCAGAGACAATTCTTTTAGAGCCCGAGGATACATTGACTGGCTTCCTCTTTGGGGACATGCACCCGACCTGCAATCTCCCTACAGTGATGACAAGTGGCTGCAATAAATTTCAGGGTTAGTGGCAGAGAGGCAGAGGGAGGCAGTGGGAAGAGAGTCTTCTCTTCATCTTTGAAAGGCAGAAGAGGCTGACTAGGTGCTGGTGACAAATATATTTGAAAATTATATTTTATTTCTTGGATACTGTAACCTTTGCAGCCCCAAGACCCAGCAATAGAGAAGCCTGGATTGCAGGACCTGGAATGGTCACCCCAATTTCTGATCTTAATTTTTATTTTTTGTTTGAGATGGGGTCTCGCTATGTTGCCCAGGCTGGTCTCTAAGTCCTGGCATCGAGGGATCCTCCCGCCTTGGCCTCCCAAAGTGTTCAGCTTAAATTTCAGCATCTGTACAGTCTTTTAGCACTTGCTGCCTTTGTCCTCTCCTTGTATTCCAGACCTTTCTTCCCCTGGCTGGGATTACCTCCTTTTCCTCACGAGTCTGCCATGTCTTAACATGGAATGAATTAAAAAGTCTCCTTAGAATACAGACAGTGACAGGTCCTCAATCCAGAGAGACTTTGTGTCTTCCTCTGGCGTCCTCAAAACCCAGGGGGCCACCAGATGCCGCAGAGACCTCCGGGGAGAGTGAGAATTGCACTTGGATTGACTTCACAGGTGAAAAATCCTTCTCTGCATAGCAGTGTTGTGTCTGCTATTCACCCCATACGGCTCTGGATAAAGAACTAAAAATGTGGCTTTTGGAAGAACCAACAGTGATGTTGTGAAAAACGTATATTTCTTTTAATGCCCAAAGATTTTTTTTTAAAAAATAAATAATCAGAAATTGGATGCCATGTTATAAATGCAACCTTTCCCTCCTCCACCAATTCACTGACTCTTAATGGTGATGATTCCAACCCCAAAAATAAATAAATAAATAAATTACCCACTGATCAGATGGTCAATTTCCAAGTGAAAGATGACGATGTAGCACTATCCAAAAGTAATCCAAGTCGGTTCAGTTCTTTGGAAAAAAGAATGTCAGGAATGTAACCCCCAATGGTAAATGGCACCTATGGTATGGGAAATAATAAGAATTAAATAGGAAGCCCTGAGCTATAGATCCGTTACAGAAGGTTCTTGTGACACATCCCAGCTCTGAGATCTTAGATTTGTTGATGTCAAAGAGCCAGAATCTCTGAACCCAACCGCCTCAGCTTCACCTGGCTTAAGTCAGAGCTGGCGTCTGCAGTGATATTTAACTGACTCTAAATGATTCTTTCCCCACTTAAGAGGGGCCCGGTTGATCCTCAGGTAGTCACACTTGCATGCAAATGGCCAGGGTTCTGTCCGTGGGGAATAGCACGCACACGCAACCGATTTAAAATAGTCTTCGTGAGAGAATCTTCCAGGGTGCGACTCCACTCTGAGAATCCTTTGTGTTTCCAGAAGATGCTTGTCCCAGTCCTTCTACCGGTAGGTTCTTAGGCCACTTCCGGTTTCAGTCCCTGAACAGGCAAGTCCCCAGCGGGTTTTTCTGCCAGTGGGAGGTGTGGGGTTATAATCTCACCACTCATTACCTTTCTGCCCTCTGCAGATCTCTCTGAGTTGTTCTTGCCAGCACCAGGCCGGGGTTATCTCATGGATTATACTTCGTTTTCTCTTCCCTGTTTTATAGGTTGCCTGAGAAATCTAAATACTTAGCTTTTCTGATGAAAACATTAAAATTCACCCATTGCAGCAAAATCCATCAAATCATTTCACGCTTATTTTCTGGAGAGGGAAGAAAAAAAAAAAAACAGAAAATTACACCTTGTTTACAAATGAAATAGTTTCACTTAAATGGGACTCTCGCCAAGGCAGTTAATTAGTCAAAAGATCCACGGCTGTCATGTAGTCACACATTGTTTATTCTATTTGATATGTCTACCACTGATGTGTAGTTAATATTCTGCATCCTTCTCAGGAAATGACAAATGCCCTGAATTCTTTGCAAATAGAATTGCTAATGAAAAAGAAAAAAAAAGATATGTTGGTGTTAATTAAATGGTGATTAAAAATTTATCTCCTTTAAACCTAAAAAGTGCAGCTTTAATAATCAGTTGTCATATAAATAAATACCTTGTACTGAAATCCCTTGCGGTTTCAGACCTAAATAAATACTAATTTGAGAAACCTAAATATCTTTCAGAGGAGCTGAATATATTCATTAACATCATGCACATTCCTGTACTGTTTCTTTGTACCTAGCTGTTGTGCATGAACCCTTGGAAAGACGACATGAGTTGTTTCTGAAATGGAGCCTGTTTGTATTGACCATGGCTGTAGTAGACATAGTTGGACCTCAAGAAAAAAAAAAAAAGAAATCCAGTAGGTGGAAGCTAAATGCATTGGCTGATGTTTAATACGAGTTAAGAGTTCTATGTAAAGGCGATTTTCCTTCCGAAAGTACTGTTTGTTTTCTCTTGAGACAAAATTAGGCCTTTCCAGGCATTGCCATCTGCTTTTGGTCAACAGGGTTGAAATTAATGTGGGGTCTGTACTTGAAAAGTTCTCCCAACATGCAGTTGCCCTTTTCCATTCAATCTCTACCCACCGTGCTGTGTCCACATCTACTTGTATCAGACGAGGTCAGCTTGCCACTCGATGAAGATCAGCGGTGATCAAATGCACTTACCCTGTGAATACAAATGCTCGTGTACACATGTATATAATATACATGCTTGATTTCTACAATTCACATGTAAGTGTATTATCCAAATAAAAGTGTACATAATGTAAAGTTTATGTTAAAAATTAAATAGTGATGATAGTATTAACACATGGAAAACCCATTCTGGTTATTTTGATGGGGGGATATTTCCATAGAGAGGACACTCTATTTTTTTAATCTCAGTTCTAGGGAGGATGGCAGAGCCCAAGTGGGATTTGGATGTTGGTGTTCCTGGCTTCTTCTTTTAAAGAAAGAAAGAAAGAAAGAAAATCTGGGGTGGGGGTGTGTGTCGAATATTTTCTGCTCACATTTGCTGCTGAAGACAATGCTAATGTGGACTTGTGTGTGATTTCTGTAAACCCATCGAAGGGCAGGGATTTTCTATTAAATTTTGTATCCTCTCCCCCCACCTGTGTCCAGAGGTATGCTCAGTGCAGTATTAGCTAGAGGCACCTGCCCAGAAGGGTCTTAGAAGAGCTGAATTTGCAGAATTACACCAAGATTTAGGGGAAGGGGAAAGGAGATAACAAAAAGAAGTTTACAAAGGGGCAGCAATCTGTATGGGATCGTCAAGTTAGAGAGTATCGGAGCTGGGATTAGAACCCGAGACTTCATGTTCAGTTTCTGGCTCAGTTCCCTGGGCCAGGCTGACCAATTTCTGGGTTTCTCTCCAAGGGGAAACTCCTGAGTACCTCTGGGATAAGAGCCAGAGAATCCCAGAAACCTGACCTGGCTTCTTTTTGCCTCTTGCTCCCAGACAGATCCAAGCATGCCTCTTTGAATTTGATTTTCCTCTAAGCTCCTTCACAGTCCCTATCTCAAAATCCTGAAGAACAGGAGGCTTTATTCAGGGACCTTTTCTTTGGGAAGAATCTACAAGGGATGTAGTTTAAAACGTCAAACTGGAGAGAAAGGCTGGCAGTGGCCATTGAAGTAAGAGAGTTCTATTTTCCCTGCACTGAGGATGAACCAAGCACATTGATCGGCTGATAGGGCTCGACTCAGTGTCTGCTCCCTTTCGAAGGCCACTTTGGGATGCAGGGGGCTGCAAGAGGAATAGAAAATGTAATCTCTTCCCATAAGTGTGGTCTTATGGTTTAGAAATTCAGTTCCCTAATACAAAAGAGAAACAAGGACCCATGAAATGCACACAGGGACTAAACAGCAAAAATTAGGACAAAGTTCTTGCCAGGAAAAAAAAAAATCTGATTCTATGATCAAACTTGAACAAACAAACAAAAAAAGCCTTTCCCCATACCTTTAAGTAACTTTGGAGAATATAGTTAGTGTTCCTGGAGATGCACTTGGGTTTATTTTAATCTTTAAAAAGGTCCCTAAGAAACCCAGGAGCAGCCAAACAGGTGAACAAACTCACCCTTCTGTATTTTTGCACAGGCAGGTTTGGGTCTGGTTCCAACCAGTGCTCCAACCCTTGCCAAATCATGCCTCCTCCCACACCTGCTTTATGACATGTGCTTCGAGAAAAGGTTGAAAAAATTCCCCAAAGGATTAGAAAATAGACTGTGATGGGAAAAAGACAGAGCATTTCCTTAAAGCTTTTTTGCTTGGTTTTGTTTTTGGCTTTTGAAGAACATTTTAGATAGTCCAGGGTACAGATGTATCAGGGAAGGGTGTAGGGAGGATCCCTTATTGAGTCCCAAGTGCCTACTGTTGTGGCTGACAAAAGAGAAAGCATCAGGTTCCCTAGAGAGAAAATGGGGCAAAGAGATGACACACAGAATCATAGGTGTATTTCAGGAAGGATGGTGGGGTGGAGAGGGAGCTTTTTTTTACTCTGTCTACCCCATTCTGTGCATTGCTGGAATGTTAGATTCCCTGCTTATCACATGTACATGCCATGGGTCAACACCTGAAGTTGGAAATATCAAAATATAAATTAAGTGTAGACTATATTCTAGGCATATCCTAGAATGTGATCCTCAAAATAACCCTAGGATATGATTGCTCCCATTTTACAGACAAGGAAACCGAGGCTCAGGTTTTTCAGGGTTTTTTTGTTGTTGTTGTTGTTTTCAGGTTTTTCAGCCTCATCAGCAACAGGAATGAAGCTAGTAAATCCCGAATGTTAGACATATTCTCGAAGTGCCTGATCTCCCCCAGGGAGGTCAGAATAGAAGTCTGAAAGAGAGATATGCTATTTTGAGGTTCCCAGGCTTACTCTTGAGTGTCAGCCTCTGTGATGAGGAAGTCTGTTAGCGTCCTGCCCCTCACTGTCTGGTTTGGGGTGTATCGAGAACTCCTGGAGATTTCACCTCTGTTCACAGTCCCTTCTGAGACTTGAACACTCTCTGTGTCTCTCCTCCATATTCTTGCACTCAGCACTTATTTTTTTTTTTTTTTTTGATTCCTGGGGAGTTATTTTCTCCACTTAGCATGTGCCTAACCTTAAAAATCCCTTTCCTAATCCCTCATCTTTTTTATCAGTCGATATCAGGGCTAATTCCATGAAACACATGTACATAGCATGCTCTTACACGCACACGGCCTTGTGGCCCCCCATTGAAGCTCTGCTAAACATTGCGGCCCATTTTCAAAGAGGTAATGTCATGTGCAAGTTGATTGTTCCTCCTGTTTCATGTACATGTTTGGTTGTCTTTGCCAGGCAGACAGAACGAGGTTCAGGGAATAGGAAATAGAGTTTCTGCATAAATGATGGAGAGCTTTAGTAATCAGAATGGCTGAGGGCCAGCTATTAAAATGTTGTCTTCCTTCTTGGTCTGTTCTTTTTTTTCTTTCTTTTTTTTTGTTTCTCAAATTGCCTTAGAGATACTTTCCTGGTCACTAGCATCAGGGTAACTGTCGAACCCCTGCTTGTTCCATCCCATTAAAGAGTGTTGAATTGGAATGTTCCCATGGAGCTTTCTAGGAGCCCAGAGGGGGCATGGTGTTGAATCCATTCTGTCGGCGTGCTGCTGATCACACACATGCCTTTCTTGTATCCCCCCCCTCCCCATGTTCTAAGCCACACTTCTTTCCTGGCATCTATACTTCCTGTGAGGTGGGGTGCATTAGGCCCATTTTACAGGTGAAGAAACTGAGCTGGGATTTGAAGGAATGTTTTCCTGGGAAGCTCCATGAATGTATCCTTCCGAAGGGTCATTAACCTCATGTAAGCACCCTTGCCCTAGTCCCTGAGAAAAATTCTCCAGCTGTTTTCCTCTTTTAAGCTGGCAGTGAAAAGTCTCTTAAGACAGAAAGGTTATTATTATTTAATAGCTATTCCGAGATCCTGTCATTGGGTCTACCAGTGCATGACAGCATTCTCCCAGGGATGTTGAGCTATGCAGAAATGGAGCACTCCAAAGAACCATCTGGCCAATAGTGTTTCTTCTCTGGGGCCGTATTTCCAAGCCCACAGTTCTCCAGGGAACCAGAACCAAGTTGTTTAAAATGAAGTCATTCCTCAGATTAACTTCCTCAGAGAAGGTGTCAGCAGTCTGCAGAAACAAATAAAACAAAACCGGGATTATCGCTCATAATTCCCTCTTAGGTACTATGCCAGTGAAACAATGAGTTGGCATTTTTTGCAATTCTAGAACATTCCTCATTAGCGGTAGCCCTGGGTCATAACCTTTCCAGTTAATTCTCTTTCACACCTTTGGGAAGGATTTAAGATGAACCTTCAAAAGGATATTAACATAACACGTAGCCGATACCACAGCTGCCTTTTAAATTAATAAGGTTAATTGTTCTCCAGCAAACATAAGTTTGTCTTTGGCATTTTAAATGCTTCTCATTGATCTGACATTTTGCTGTTTCCTGCTTTTAAAGGGCTCAAATCAAAGACTATTGATAACTGAGCAAATAGTGAAGGTCCAGAAACATAAAAACATTGTTGGTTTTTCCATGAAAAACAATCATAGCCTTTTGAATTCAATGGAGGTTTTTACATTAGCCATCTAAGACTTATTGAATTAGTTCTATTCTCAGTCAAGCTAATTCAAGCGAATGAACAGTATTGACTTTTTAAATCTATTTTATTTTTTTAAAAATCTTAAATTTATTAGGTTTGTAGATACAGCTCTGGGGCCATGACCACTACAGAAATGTTCCAGTTTAGAAAAAGAAGATTCAGACCTCGATTTGGGGGCAAATCCACGTTATTTTCTTTGAAAATTCTGATGGATTTGGAAAGATGAATGTGGAACTTGGAACATTCATCTTCTCCAAATTTGTCACTGGGAAAGGATGCTAATTGCTCTTTTTTTTTTTCCAAATAAGATATAAGATTAAGAATAACATTTTCATAGAAAATGCAGTAAACTGCTTAATACAAGTAATTACATAGCTAGATGTGGTTCAGATGACTTCCAAGCCTGAGGATCCCTAAAGATTTCTTTACCAGTTGCTTTTAGCTATGAATCTTAATCTTGTTCATTCCCCTGCCAAAACACATTTAAAAGCGTTCGTATACTTGCCAAATTAATTGGTAAAATCGACTATAGTTTATATCACACCAGAATGTTTGTGTGTATGTGTTTATGTATAGTATAGTATGTATCTTTCAAGCTGAATATTCAGAAAGAATTAGGTGAGTTAATTGATTGCTTGAATAAGAAGTAGACCATACAAATTATAAATAATAGCCTTCTTGGACAGAAAAAGAGGGAAAACTACTCATTTTTCACTCATGTTGTAAGACGTGTTGCATAATATACAAGCTGGTCATTGCCCTGCCTGCAAGAGAGTTCTCGAATTGAGCAGTTTTTGCAAGGTTTATGTCTGAGTTGTTTTGTAACCCAGTCTGGCTGGGATTGAACTCTATCTGCAGGGGGTTTCCATTCACAGCTACATTCAAACACTATCCAAAACCCACATCAGAACTGTCTTGGTCTCTTATATGGTGGAGCCCAAAGCAAGCTGTGTGCACTACACTCTGGTCTTCATTTGGGAATTGACGTTCGCTTACCAGTCGCAGCAGTTTATACCTGTCATGTTTTAATCCACTGCATGAGGAAGTGCTAATAACTGTATTAACTATTTCCAAGCATAGCTACAAAACTACACGTTTGCTTAACACCTTTCTATGATAGAGGAAGTATATACTATGGTTGTCTTCTTGTAGTATGTCTTTTAATTTTGTTCAATGTGTTATCAACTGTTTTAAGGAATGGGGTTTGAAATGTGTGTGCAAACTGATATGTACATAACTCCCGAGGCAACGCGAGTGCCCGGTCATACGGTGTAAAAATGTAAATACAGGAAAATTTCATTTTTCTAATAAAGATAATTTCTGCCAATTGATATGAAAATGAGAAATGGAGTCATGGTCTTCGTTGTTGTCATTGTTGTTGCTGTCGTGGGCGTCACTGATGTTTCAGGCCAGGCTTAGTATTTGTACAAAAGAGAAATAACTGCATTTGCCCCCACTTTTTGCAAGAGGGGAGTATAGAGGGAAGCGTGGAATTGGGGTGAATCCTTGGCTTGGCTTCAGGATTTTAGCTGCAAGCTTAGCCGCTGTGCCATCCTGGACCTCATCTTCCTGTGCAGTTCCCACACTTGCAGCCTTGAACCTGGCAATGCCAACCTTTCTGAAGAATCACCCTCCTCTATACGACTTAGGTAAGACTCACAGATGCTCCCCTCCTGCTTACCTATGCCAAGGCCAGACACAGACTCTCCAAATTCCTACTCTGTGCCTTATGACTGATTAACTGAACTGCTCAGCCCCACTAATCACCCGGAACAAAATGCTTGTTGACCAAACATTGGTTAAGCTGCCCTCCTCATACCAGCCACAGCCGGAGCCAGCACACGACCCTCCTTAAGAGCCCCTCCTGGGTATAGGCAGGCCTCCAACTCTCTGATCTCCTGCCCAATCATGCCTCTCCTGCGCATCACATTTTCTCATACCTGTTCTTTCCAGCTTTGTTCACTCCTACCTGTAAAAGAAAAACCCCTTTTCCTCACCCTGGAGATGTTTGTAGACCTATGGCCACAGCGTTCTCTCTATTGCAACAGTTCCTTCCCCACCAATTGCAATACTCTCTTTCTTCCCCTTGCAATAATCCTTTTCAATAAAGTCTCTCTTTACTAAACCCAAATTTGATTTTTATTTAACTCTTGTCTTCAGATCAAGTGACATTTCTAAAACCCAAATCTGACATGTCAACTCCACCTCTCCTTTACTTAAAACCTTCAGCTGGAGCCCCATGACCCTTGCCCTAGCACACAAGACCTTTTTCCAAGCCCGGCCACACCCCAGCCAACCACACATCTTATGCTGTATCTGAATCAAAGGTCTTTCTGCTCCTCTCCAAAGACAACATGAGCGCTCCTGTTCCCATGCTTTTGCTAAGGCTGGTCTTTCTTCCTGCTACGATGCTCTCCTCGTCAACTCTTAATTCTTTTTTAAGATCTATTTTAAAAAGAAACCTCTTCTTAGTCGTTCCAAGCTTCCCCCAGCAGAATGACTAACAGTTAACTTCTGTACCATCCATAGTCCCATGCGCGCACCTCTATAAAATAATTTATCAAATTTTAGTATTTTTTTATTTTATTTTATTTTTTATTTTAGCATATTACGTGGTACAAATGTTTAGGTTACATATATTGCCTTTGCCCTCCCTGAGTCACAATTTCAAGACTGTCCATCCCCTACACGGTGCTCACTGCACCCATTAGGTGTGAATATACCCATCCCCTCCTCCCCCTCCCACTTGCCTGACACCTGATGAATGTTATTTCCATGTGTGCATATAAGTGTTGGTCAGTTAGTACCAGTTTGATGATGAGTACATGTGGTGCTTGTTTTTCCATTCTTGTGATAGTATATTTTTGATGTGTGCTACTTCTCCTTAGAATGTTAGCTTTTCCAGAACAAGGGCCATATAACCTTTGAATCCTAGCACCCAGCTCAGAGTCTGACACACGAAGAGCATTTACTAAACATTTTTAGATGGGAAGAAAGATAGCTAGACGGAAAAGGGAATGGTAAATGGCCTGTGGGTGGGTGGATGGATGGAGTGCGTTGGAATCAGTTCTCAGTTTACTGCACTCTTCTACCTCTTATCTCACTCAGTCTTGATTACCCCTCAATTTTTATATTTGGGTCCAACCTTCTCCATAAACTCTAGACTCAAATATGTCTACATCTCCACCTAGCGATCTTAAAGACATCCAAAACCTAAAATGTCATGACAAGTACTCTGGACAACTGATCACCCCGACAGGAATCTGATCCTCCCACAGGGTTCCTCATCTCAGGAAGTGGCACTGCTACTGACCTGACTTCTCAGGCCAAATGCCAGTTGGTCATCCTTCACCCCTAAATCCCCTTCCCATCCAGTCCATCGGCCAGCCTTGACTGCCTGACCTTTATTTTTTTTTTAAACTGTTTTTAGAGACAATGCCTGACCTTTAAAATGCATTCATGACCCATCTCCGTCTCCTCACTTCTGCCCCACTACCCCAGCCATCGTCTCCCATTTATATTATTGCATTAGCTTTTTAACTAATCCACCTGCTTCTCCTCTGGCCTCCCAGTATGTCTGTTCTGCAGACAGAAGACAGAGCAATCTTCTAAAAATGTCAATTTGATGATATATAAGGCTCACCTGCTCTCATGCCTTCGGTACCTCCCCGTTACAATGAGGATAAAATCCAAATTCTTCCCCATGACCTCGGAATGCTAACTGGTCTGCCTTGTCTCCTACATCATCTACTACCAGTCTGCACCATGTGCATTTGGATTCAGCCACGCTGAGCTTCTCTCTCTTCAAACAAAGGCAACTCAGGGCCTTTGCACTTGCTCTTGCCTCTCCATGTAACTGTCCCTCTAGGTCTTTCTGTGAATTCCTCCTTTGTCATAGTTGGGACTCTGTTTAAATGTCACCTCCTCAGAGAGGCTTCTGTGACCACACTGTCTTAACTGGAATCTTCCCTGTCACTCTCTATCCCCACACCAGACATCATTTGTCCTTATAACACCACTACTTGAAATCTCATTATAGATTTATGTCTATTTGTTCATTGTATGTCTCCTTCACTGAATAAGAATAGGGACCTGGTTTATCCATTCACTGCTCAAGCCCCAGCATATGATGCAGTGACTGGTATATGGTAGGCACTCAGTAAATGTTGTAGGGAATGGATGAATAAATGGATGGAAGGATGGATGGATGGGTGGATAGATGGTAGATAGAAGTAAAGGGCAATACATGATTAGATGGGTACATGGCTAAATAGATGGAAGTATTATGGATGCATAAAGGTTGGGTGGATAGAAGAATGCCTTTGATCAGAATACATAGTTCCCAGGCCCCAAGATGCTTATCCCATCTTGCACCCCGGGCGCTCCCTATATGTCAAGGTGTACATTTTCCCTCAGAAATGTGGCTCCACAGAGTGGTAACTAATGCTGTGTTCTCAGTGGAGAGCTAAAAATATCCTTTGCCTCTCTTCAGTCTTCCCCCAATCTCTTCCATCTTCCCAGTGATATTCGATGGGGAGTTTATGAAGGATGCCTTATACACCAAGCCCTGTGGACCCAGGACACGTAACAAAAGGGTTCATGGAAGGACTGGTGAAATAATAACAGGGCCCAGAGAGTCACATACACAAGGCCATAGTACCTGACTCTGGCAGCTACAACTCTCACAGCTTTCTGAAAGGAAGCAGGACTTGGGGATCAATCAAATTTTTCATTCTACCAAAATCTATACACATATCACGTACTTACTTTGTACAAGTCCTGCTCTTTGGGAGGTTATGGTCCACTGATCTCCTTGAATCTTTAAGATGATGGTGGCTTCCAACAGAAGCTCTTCTGTTTGGGCCCTGGGGTAGACAGCAGCAGCCTTCCCGCAGCTGGGAGACTGGAACGTTCCTCTCCAGGTGCTCCAACATGGCTGCTGAGCCCCACAGCCTTCTGGGAAGAAACGGTGGCTGCTTTATTCTGAAGAGGTCAGTGCTTTCTTTCTGCCTCAACAAGGTAGACTGAGGAAGACCTGAGTCCCTCAGTAGACTATTCTCTCACCCTGACCTACTAAGGTAGAGAAGAGATGCCCTTAAGGAGAGAGTTTTCAATGGGGGCGTTGCCTGGGGCATTTCATGACGTCAGCAGGAATGGGAAAAATTGTTGTTCACGCCAGGTGGCAGGTAACTTTCACCTGTGGAAAGATTTGATCTGGGAAAGTTTGCCTGGTGCAGAGTTGTAACTTTCAAAAATGCTGATGTATATATAGGAGGTTGTGAAGAACAGAGTTCAGATGAGTGACAACCCAGGTGTAGGGTAAGAGTCAGGCATTGTGGTCCTTAAAGAAAATGAGGTGGACTGTCCCTCAGGGGTGGGTCTCTGGATCTCTCCACGTCCAGAAGAAATAGACCCTCACATAAGTGGATGGTTTTATAGAGGCTATGAAATAACAAGAAGATGTGTGGTGTCTTGGAGCCACCTCTTTTGTATTCCTGCCTGGCCCCGTCTGTAATAGTTCTGTCCCCTCTCTTTGTGCATGAGAAAACTAAGGCTGGGAGAAAGAGAATATGTCACTCAAGCTCACTCAGATCTTAGCAATCAAGATCTTTTGATTGAATCTGGCACTCGCTGAGATGGGTAAAGAAAACGACATTTCCTTGGCACTTGTAATGTACCAGACTCTGAGCCACTCGCACAAGCAACATATTATTAAATCCTTCCAACCATATGAAAGCTCAGATCCAAGTCCCTTTCCCGATGCGCTACACTCCAAATGACAACCTGGGTGTATACTAAAGGGCCAGTAGATCAATTATGTCATGAAGCAAATGTCATCATGAACAACAACAAAAAAATCCACTTTGTTCAATCCCAAAATAGCTAATCTATAAAGTATGAGGGATTGCTGGCATCAGAAGAATGCAATGGCAACTAACATTTGTGTGTCATTCTATGTTGCAGTAGAGACAGGTTATACCACTATTTTTATTTACCTCCATTTAACAGATGAGGAGACTGAGACCCAGAGACAGAAGTGACTCAGCCCAGGTCACTGAATTGACATGTGGCAGAGGACGGAGGCCTCCAAACCCAGGCATTCGGACTCCGTGCCCTGAACAATTACAGCACAGTACACTCCCCAGGGTAAAGGACAGAGGTTTCCCTTTTCCCTCCTGTCACTCTCCATCTGGGTAATATTGCTTCTGAGCTTCCCTCAACGCTGGCCTTTTCTTTGGAGTAGCTGAAGATGGGCCATTTTCAACACATTTTCCATTAACTGAAGTGGCACTAAATACCATCGCTGCTATGAAACTAATCGGCAATTTGTGGCATGCCTTA